CCACCCCCCAGCCCTAGCCCCCCCCAGCCCTCCCCCCCCATACCGAATGCCTGGGTCCCAGAGCCAGTGTCGCTGCTGCCACATATTTCTTCCTCAGGCGCTGGAGAGGTGTGAGCACAGCAGCAAGCTGTGAGCAGGCACTTGATGCCTATGCAGAGCAGCCCAGCCAGCCGTGATCTGCACTCTGGGCCACACTTTATTCTTTTATAAAATGCTGTGGCAGGCCACAAAAAATTTTGATTGGGCCACATGCAGCCCGCCAGAAGCCTGTTTTACATGCCTTATGTAGATGGTATCATGAGCTTTTGTAGGCACAACCCACTCCCACCCATGAAAGCTCATGATACCATCTACAAAGGTTGGGCAAAAATTTTTGCCCGGGGGTCACTTCAAAAATGTTTGAAGTAGCCCTGGATCACCACGGAAGGGGTGGGCACTAAACAGGAAGGGGTGGGGCTACCCAGACCATGATTGGTCTGGGGTGGAGGAGCCCCTTTGCCTCCTCCTTCCCACTAGGAACCCATGTCTCTAGTAGGGCAAGAGGAGGCTTTGTGCGCTCTCCCACCCTCAGGATAATCAAGGCTTGAGGGCGGGGGAGCGCGGGAAGCCTCCTCCTGCCTTGTGAGGAGTACGTGGTGCTTGGAAGTGCCATGTGCTGCTTGCTGGGTGGGGGCAGAGCAGAGAAAGCTTCATGTGCTCTCCCACCCCAAGCCCTAATTGGCCTGGGGCGGGGGAGCAGCAGGGCCTCCGCAGACCAGATCCGACCCATGGAAGCCCTTTTGCTTACCTCTAATCTACATGTTTTGTTAGTCTTTAAACTACTACTAGACTGTTTTGTTGTTTTTTTAAGTTTTTCCTGTTACAGATTAACTCAGCTACCCTTCTGAAGCTTATAAAAAGGATTCTGTACTATTACATTCCTTTTTGCCTCCCTGTTTCCTTTCTCCTTTGATGAGTTGGGCAGGCAGGAGTTTTGGTAAAAATTTATCAGACATGCACACAGTGCCCGCTCTACCTCAGCTGGTGCTGGATAATCAGAGCCTCAGTGCTAAAGGAGTTGGAATTACTGAAGTGATAGATCGCCCCACGTTTTGTTGCCGATTTTCCATCTCCCTTTCATAGCAGAGGCTTGGGATTATCCTGGCTTTCTCATCTAAAAGTCTTATACATGTTTGGATGTTGTGATTGTGAACACCTGGAGAGGCAGTCTGCTCAACGCAAAGTTGGCCTTGAATCTTGATATCTATGGCTTCAGTTGAATGGCTTGTGTGAAATTTGGAAGAGTGGCTCAGAGAGACCTCTCTCCTGTACTTAAGGATAGAATCTCATGGCAGCCTGAAGGAAAAAGTCCTCAGGGCAGACAGAAAGCCACGCTTGCAGGGTATCCTCAGCCTTAGGCTACTTATTGCTTCAAGTGCCTTCAAGAAAGTGAGGGTGTGTGTTAGTTTTATTTAAAAGTTTTTTGGAGTGTTATTGTAACAGGTAAGTTAATCTCTTACATTGATAACTCTCGTGTAGTTTTTTGCTGTACGATAATGTGAAAAAATTAGATTAACTAGGTAAGTAAATGGGCAGTTAGGAAACATTACAGATTGCTTATAATAAATTTATTAGGTATCTTGTTAGTATTTAAAGTGCTACTTAACTTTTTTCTTTTTGTTTTACCAAGATTTGACTAACACCGCTACCTCTCTATTACAATACATTTGATATGCTCAAAATCTTTTTTACTTTTATTCTTTAAAGCAATGTGTTACCCATTTGCTATAACAGTGGTTTTAAATGCTTGAATGAAATATAGTGATGAAATTCATATTTAGGTTGTATAACATTAACTTCTCATGTTTTATAAAACTTAGATATTTAAGAATTTGACATTTTTTATGTAAAAGACATGAACCTAATGAGAACGGGATATGAACAAATTAGAGAGAAAAAGATATTTAACAGAATGTAAACCACAAAACTATATAATTTATATGTCTATAGTTAGGATATTTATTGTTTAATTAATTACTTATTTTACTAAGAGGTGGATTATTTACAGTGGTGTAGTGAGGAGGGTGCAGGGAGGGGAAGTGGCCGCTGCGTGCCACACTAGTCATCCCTCTGCTCCTCCTCTGCTTGCCACCACCGGCTGGAGCTATCTCCTCCCCATCCTTCTGCCCCCAGTCTGACTCCCTCCACGTCCGCCAAAGGATTAGTGCATGCAGGACCCAGCCCCAAACTGGAGGGGGTCGGATAAGACTCGGTATAAGCTCCCCCCACTTCTCCCAGGGTCGAGCTCAGCTATGCGCCAGGTTTGGGGCCCTACCATTTGGCAGGATGGAGCACCAATTTTGCCTTCATGGGCGCATAAAACCCTCGCTACGCCTCTGGCCTCGCTCCTAGGGGTGTGAAAATCAGTGTGGGGACCTCTGTACTACTTGAAGAGTGGGAATACCCAGTGCTTAATTTTTGCCCGGGCTTTGCCTTGGCTGAATCCCAGCACCTGTAGGCTTGGCATTTCATAGCTAGAGTCCTATATTAATACAGGCAGTCCCCGACTTACGCGGATCCGACTTATGTCGGATCCGCAGTTACGAACGCAGCTTTTCTCGCCCCGGAGGACACGGACTGCGGGACCTCGCGGTCCAGCCGCCCGCGTACTCCGGTGCGAGAAAAGCTGCTCCCCGTCTCCCTGGCTT